GCTGGTTTTTTTCTAATGTAAGTATGGAAAATAAGAGGAAATAAGGGCTTAACTCTAGCATTTCTTCAAGATTTTTATGGTGCATGACAAGGTCTGTGAGGGTGGGGGAGGGAAAGAAAAAGAGGGAGTTGGTCACCTGTGAACACAAAGAACTGAAGTTGACAGCATTGACTCCACAAAAATACAGCAAGAGAAAGGGATTTAGGTACATAGTTTTGCTCTGTTGAGCAAAATTTGTGCTGCATTTTGTCATTAAAACTTTTCAAGGAAAAGTTTCTGGAAGCTTGATAATAGTAATGCCATCTAGAGTGGATAGATTTCCAAATTATTGGCATTAAAGACTTGAAACCCATGTGAACAGCTAGGATTGTGTGCTGACATCTTGTTAGCAATCCCCTAGGCAGCTGCCTGGAAGCGTTGTGTCTCTCACTGTTTCTCAGGGTTGTGTGTCTTTAAACAGGGATGGCCCTGGTGGTAGCGAGGAGGGCCAGATGGCACCTGGCACGGATGTAGCCGTTCCTGACAGACCTGAATCTTCTCATAAAGATGAAGACCGGTCTGATGATGAACTGGAAGAATATGATTTGGAAAACTATGATGAAGAGGAATACACAGGTAGGAAAAATTTGAATGTCAGATATGCAGTGTGAAGAAACTTTTCACTTCGTGTTGTACTTAAGAAATTAGTATCCTATAACTACACAGTGCTATGTTTCAAAAGTTGGAAATTCACATTTCTAATTAGTTGCTTGTCCCAGTTTCACAAGTGAGACAATTCAGTGTCCACCCCTCTGATACTAGAACCGAGAGCAGTGTTGGAAAGACTGTAACTCCCTCTGCTGTAGTGCTGGAGCAAAGCAGCAAAAGTCTGTGAAAACACTCATGCAGGTATTGGTATAGGAGTTTGTAACTTCACCTGTCACTGACATGTATAAAAATTGTTTTGAAATTCTCATCTAGGTGATTTAAAACTTGGAGACTCTTTGGCTGCTTTAACAGTGTATGGGAGCAATGATCATGATCCTTACATCACTCTCAAAAGCACTGTAAGTAGTGTAAAAACGTTAAATATCTTAAATAGCATAAACCTAAAAATCAGTTAAATTTTCCCACTGCCAGGTAGACTGCCTTACGATCTGTAGGTGCTTGCAGTCCTTTTCCAAAGGTTTGACAGATTTTTGGTAAGATAGAGCTCTTTTCTTCTAGAGTTGCTTTGTGCAGTAGTCCTTCGTGTGTGCTTTTTAGATCGAAGTTGTATGTTAAGGTGAACTGGCTCATTATTTAAGCCACATGCTTCAGTATGTGGAGATGGTTTGTTGCCTATGGAGTAGGACTCAGAAAAGGCTTGTTTGTCTTTTTATGGTGAACAGGGGTTCAGCATGCAAGACATGAGGTAATCTTTCTCTACTTATCTCTACTTAAGAGCAGTATTGCTGTGGCTGTGTAATATTGAGAGCCTCCTCAGAAAACCTATGGAGAGATTCCAGAGAATATTGCAAAGTTTAGTTCAGAAGGATAGATTGCAATTTGTAATTGATTTAATTTACATAGGGAGATTACAAAAATCAGTTACAGGGTGAGGTTGCATGAGAAGAAACAATGTAATCTAGAGAACAGCCACGAGAGACTGTGATCATTTGGGACATGGTGGTGGAGCGGGTGAATTTTTAAGACGTCTTACAGGTCATCAGAATCATACAGATTCTGAGTTTTTTATGGATCCTGTCCTTTCTATACTGTTTTGGGTTCTTTACAAAGCTAATGAGATTGAAAGAAAGAGTTGCTATAGGCTTCTACCACATCTAGTTGGTGTGTCCAGGGGGCTTTGTCTAACCAGTGTGATCTCAGACAATGAGCTGTTATGGTGACTTCAGGTACTGTAACAGAGCTCAAGGAGGAAGGCATACGTCTTACCTGTAAAATTAGTTCACTTGCTATGTGCACTTCTGGGCACTATATGTTTTCTCGGAGTTCCACTGACAGGTTCATGATTTTTCTTGCTCCTGTGTACCAGGAGATGAGACAAATGCTTTAAAAGTCAAATATATTTACACAGGCATTCACAACTTTGTTCCAAACATAAAAAAGATGCTTTAACTGAATAAAAAAGAAATGGAAAGCTTACAACAAGAAATGTCTTGTAGGTGTTGCACATTTGAAGGATGGTATCTGTTTGAGTAAGACTATTGACTTCTATGTACAGTTTTTAATTTTCCACTAACAAAAATTCCCTGGATGCCTTCCATTCCTCAGTAACAATAGAAATTAGATGAGATGTGTTCTGGTACTGCTGCATTCCCAGTATAGCTGTGGGCAGTATTTTTCTGGAAATATTTTCCAGAAAGTAGACAGTGCTTTAATGCTCTTGGAATTGCTTTCTGGATGTGAGGAGCAGTTACAATAGGCTTATTGCGTAAAAAGTTCTTACGCTACAAAGTGCTCAAGGCATGAGAGCACAAGGGAAATAAGCTGTGTATGTGGCTCCTGGTGGTGATTTTCTTTTCAGCAACGGAGTGCATCATGGTAGCTACAAAAGATGGCTTCGTATTTGGTGATGAAACATCTCTGAATTCACCTAGGCCCACAGAACCAGTGACAGCGCATGTGTGCGGTGTGAGCAAGTAAATGATCTCCTCAGACAGGTGGTTGAGCTGACAGAGGAGGTTGCAAGACTGAGGGCCATTAGAGAATATGAAAGTGAAATAGATTGGTGGAGTCAAACCCTGAGGCAGGGGCAGATAGAAGACGTTGGGCAAGTGACGGATCCTTTCCCCTCCTGTCACCAGACAGATGGAGAGGACTCAAGAGATATTAAGGAATGGAAGGAGGTTCGACCTCGAAGAGGCAAGAAAAAATCCTCCCAACCCCTTCCACCCTCTCAGTTGCCCTTGAAGAATAGATACGAGGCATTGGAAATTCAGGAACAGGAAAATGAAGTTGGAGGGGTAAACTTACCTAAGATTTTGCTAAGAACAGGCCTTTTAATTCTCATCAATTTCTCCTCTCTTTTCCAAAGAAAGGACCATGCTTTTACTTCTCTAGAACAGAGAATAGAGAAAGCAGCCTTCAAGACTTATTTTTTTTTTTTCCTTTTTTTTTTTTACATAGGGTCTAAACACTCCATGCAGATTTTGGGAGGTTTTCCCCCAAAATATATACATAGGACCTTTTCCAAGGGCTATTGAAAGGCCTTTAAAAGCTTCTTATTTTAATGATTTTACAGTGGAACCTAAAGAAAAGCAGTGCTGTAAGAAGAGCAAATATATGATTTGACTGAATAGAGAATTTCTAAAATAAAGAAAATACAGGAAAAAATAGAGATAGGTAAAGTGTTCTGGAGTAGAAGAACCAGAACAAGTTTCAATGTGGACTAAACTTGGAAGAATCTTTGAGTCAAAGAGAAGGCTAGACTGAGAAAACTGAGAACTGAAAGGATTGGAAAAGATAATATTATAACTCATGATTTCTTATCCATAGGTAAATCTGTAATGTTTAGAATAACCTCTTTTTGAAGACATACATAATAAAAACAAATGTGGTGGTAGAGAAACAGTTTTGAATTCCTGCAGATTTGCTGAGCTGTGAATTCAGAAAAGGTAAACCTCTGAAAGAGGGAATTTAAAAGCATTTTAAAATGCAACATTTAGATAAAACAAATAAACAAATAAATAAGTGGTTATAATAGAAAAATAAAAATAAAACAAAATATGGGATAATCTGAAATATTCTCTTCCATTTTTTTAAATTTGAACAACAGAAGCTGTTACCTGTCCTACCTTACTCCTAAACACTGAAACCCAGAAAGAAAAAACAAGGGACAAAAAAACCAAACCATTTTACACTCCTACAAAATTACACATATTTATATTTCAAAGAATCATTGCATTCTAATTATTCACAGTACTGCTATGACTTTTCACTCTACTTTGAATTTCTTCCCCTTAATAGCAAGTCTCCTTGCTTTCTCTTTTAATGTAGCAATACTACAGAATCTAAAAGAAGAAAGGTAAAGAAAGAGAGAAAGAAGGATAGACTGAGAGTGAAAAGCCTGACAACTGTGTAACAAACAAGAACATAGTAGAAAAAAAATGTATTGTACTGAAGCTGAAAATTCTTTTTGAAAAATGTCAGAAGACCAGGTAGATTATTAAGCAATACAGTAAGATAATTATTTGTTTGCCTTGTTTGTACAATATTAACTACCTAATTTGTAAGGCATGGTGATAGAATTTAAATGCTAATAAAATCTTAACTGAGCTGATGTAATCACAACAAAACAGATTTTATATGAGTACATATCCTGTGTGGAAGGAACAAAATACCCAGCAGGACCAGAACCCTGGACTTCCACAGGGCAAACTTTGGTCTCCTCAATCATCTATTAAGGGAAATCCCATGGGACAGGGTGCTAGAAAATAAAGGAGCTCAAGATAGCTGGTCAACATTCAAGGACCACTTCTTGCAAGCACAGGATCAGAGTGTCCCAATGGTTAGGAAATCTAGTAAGGGTGCTAGGAGACCTGCATGGTTAAAGAAGGAACTACTGGGCAAACTTAAGTGGAAAAGGAAAATCTATAGATCATGGAAGGAGGGGCTGGTCACTTGGGAGGAATATAGGACTGTTGTCAGAGGATGTAGGGAGGCAATTAGGAAAGCTAAGGCCTCCTTGGAACTTAACCTTGCAAGTCAGGTTAAGGATAATAGAAAGGGCTTTTTCAAGTACATAGCTAGCAAAACTAGCAATAGAGGCAATATTGGCCCATTGAGGAATGAGGTGGGAGCCCTGGTGACAGAGGATATAAAGAAGGCAGAGGTGCTGAATGCCTTCTTTGCCTCTGTCTTCACTCCTGCAGGGTCTCCCTATGAGCCCCAGATTCATATAGCCCCAGAAGAAGTCAAGATAGAGGAAGAGTTTGACATGGTAGATGAGGATTGGGTTAGGGATCAGTTGAGTAATCTGGACATCCATAAATCAATGGGTCCAGATGGAATGCACCCAAGGGTGCTGAGGGAGCTGGCGGAGGTCATTGCTAGGCCACTCTCCATCATCTTCAGTAAATCATGGGCAACAGGTGAGGTGCCTGAGGACTGGAGGATAGCAAATGTCACTCCAGTCTACAAGAAGGGCAAGAAGGAGGACCCGGGTAACTATAGACCGGTCAGCCTCACCTCCATCCCTGGAAAGGTGATGGAACAACTTGTTCTTGTCACTATCTCCAGGCACATCAAGGACATGGGGGTCATCAAGAGCAGTCAGCATGGTTTTATCAAGGGTAAATCATGTTTGACTAACCTCATAGCCTTCTATGAGGAAATTACTAGGTGGATAGATGATGGTAGAGCGGTAGATGTGGTTTATCTTGATTTCAGTAAAGCATTTGACACCGTCTCCCACAGCATCCTTGTGGATAAGTTGATCAGGTATGGGTTTGGTGACCAGGAAGTGAGGTGGATTAGGAACTGGTTGAAAGGAAGGAGTCAGAGAGTTGTAGTCAATGGGGTAGAATCTGGTTGGAGGTGTGTTACTAGTGGAGTCCCACAAGGGTCGGTGCTGGGACCGGTGTTGTTCAACATCTTCATCAACGACCTGGATGAGGGTATAGAATGTACCCTCAGCAAGTTTGCTGATGACACTAAGCTGGGAGGAGTGGCTGACACACCAGAAGGCTGTGCTGCCATTCAGAGAGACTTAGATAGGTTGGAGAGTTGGGCGGGGAGAAACATGATGAAATTCAACAAGGGGAAGTGCAGAGTTTTACATTTGGGGAAGAACAACACCATGTCCCAGTACAGGTTGGGGGCTGAACTGCTGGAGAGTAGTGTAGGTGAAAGAGACCTGGGGGTCCTGGTAGACAGGAGGATGACCATGAGCCAGCAATGTGCCCTTGTGGCCAAGAAGGCCAATGGCATCCTGGGGTGTATTAGAAAGGGTGTGGTTAGTAGGTCAAGAGAGGTTCTCCTCCCCCTCTATTCTGCATTGGTGAGGCCACATCTGGAGTATTGTGTCCAGTTCTGGGCCCCTCAGTTCAAAAAGGACAGGGAACTGCTCGAGAGAGTCCAGCGCAGAGCTACGAAGATGATTAGGGGAGTGGAACATCTCCCTTATGAGGAAAGGCTGAGGGAGCTGGGTCTCTTTAGCTTGGAGAAAAGGAGATTGAGGGGTGACCTCATCAATGTTTACAAATATGTAAGGGGTGAGTGTCAGGGGGATGGAGTTAGGCTTTTCTCAGTGATGACCAGTGATAGGACAAGGGGTAATGGGTGTAAATTGGAGCATAGGAGGTTCAAGGTGAATATCCGAAAAAATTTTTTTACTGTAAGAGTGACAGAGCACTGGAACAGACTGCCCAGGGAGGTTGTGGAGTCTCCCTCACTGGAGACATTCAAAACCCACCTGGATGAGTTCCTGTGTGATGTACTCTAGGTGACCCTGCTCTGGCAGGGGGGTTGGACTAGATGATCTCTCGAGGTCCCTTCCAGCCCCTAAGATTCTATGATTCTATGATTCTATGATTCTATGAAATAGTCCTTCAGTCTGTGTAATCAGTACTCAATCTCCCCATGGTTCAGTCTCGTTCCTCACTTTCTCTGTTTACCACCATAAGTGGGTTTTAGGCAGGTGGGCAGCAGGACTTTGGGTTTCAAGTGTTTTCAGTTATTGTTAAAAGGTATTACTGATTCAGCCTTTTGAATGTGTGTAGTTTTGTGCATTTACATGCTTTGTTGAACATCTGTTGTCCTCTCTTTTGCTGTTCAGGATCAGTATGAACAGGAGGACTTTTTGATTAAGCCCAGTGACAATCTTGTCCTTTGTGGCAGAGTTGATAAAGACTACTGTAGTTTGGAAGTTCATGGTAAGTAACAGGGGTTGTTCCTTACAGTGA